CTCAGTGTACTATACTCTGTTGGGTTAAAGGGTGTTACTCAGCACTTTGTACACCATTGTTCTATCTAAGTCAACATACCAAATGTATAAGATTATGTCACAGGCATGTCTGTACACTCAATGACTGGAAGATTGATCGTTCAGGTGAGCTCATGCTGATGCACATTGAGGTGGAGCTCAGGAAATATCAGTACCGTGCTCCATCACATCCACTTTGCACTGGAAAGGAAGGAAGAGGGCTTCACAAGGCTCCATGCCAATCGGAAGGTGGTTCTGATGCAGTCAGTCAGTTCTTAGAAAAATTGCCCAAGACATTGGAACAAATTCAGGAATGTGATCCAACATGTCCGGTTCACACCTGGGCGTTTTGTAGCACGTTCCTACGCTCTGCAAAACGCTCAAACACCGAAATCCCATTATTTCCTATGGGTTTGGTTCACACCTGGGCGTATTACAGGCCGTATGAACGCGGTACAAAACGCCCTACGCCCAAAGAAGTACAGGAGCTTCTTTGGGGCGTTTTTGTCACGCGTATCCATTGGGATACAGCCAGGTAGCCCTTGGAAACGCGGGTTTGTCACACGTTTTTTTTTACCACGAATCACGGTAAAACACACGACAAAATGCGCATATTCGATACACCTAGGTGTGAACACAGGCTGAGAGTTCCCGGATACACCTTAATAGCCAGATATAAAATTCAATTTGTTTTCACCAGATGCTGCTGCAAACCCAGATATTACCATATTAAAAAAAAAAAAAAAAAGTAGGTGACATCAGTGTGCTGCACATGCGGAGAGCAGATCTGTGGCAGGGACCCAGCAGGCACCACTCACTACAGGCTGCCTGCAATAACCTACAGGAGGAGGCGGAGACAGACCAGCCACCCTTCACAAGGAGATTGAGCTGCAGTGACCAGACCCGATTAATCATTCTCGGTAATTTCCTGCCAGTTAAAGGTGCCCATACACTGGTCGAATTTTGGCCAGCTTTTAATGTACCGACCGAAATTCAGTGTGTGGGGCTGTCGGCTCCCTTTCAGCCAGCATTCCTTGATCAGCTGATCGAAGGAGCCAGCTCCAAAATTTTTCGATTGATCAGAGCCAGCAGCCATTGAGCTGCCCGCTCTGATCATGTATTCTGACAGGTGCAGGCGGCATGTAAACTGTGGGATTTCTCGATCGATGCGCTGTTTGTGTTGGAGTAATCTGGTCAGTTTTTTGTTCAGACCGCAGTTTGAACAAAAAAAATTGGGGGGGAAAAAAATCGCAAGACAAAAGTATTGCGATGGTTGTAAGGTGTGTGCCCAGCCTTAGACAAACCAGACCAACATCCTGCCACAGTGGGTGGTCATAAATGCCGATATCCATCTGGAGCAATTTGTTTGGTGTTGATTAGACGCTGGACCACTACAGGACAAATCGGTGATCGGGGCCGGCTGGAAGGGCCACAGAGAACGCACCCAAAGCATTTGGACAGCAGCGCCTCTTCAAGAGTGCAAAGATCTGAAAGCCAGAAAAGCAAGTACTGGATTGACCTTTTATAGGCTGGACCTCATGTTTTACCATAACAGGGTCACATTAGGCATGCTCACCCCACGAGTTCTTAGAGTAAGCATACATGAGTCAGACCACACAGTGACTCAAACGTTTCAGGCTTTCAGGAAGATGTGTCTGGTATTCAGGTACTTTGGTTTGCACTCACATCAATGCACTTCACCTGTTTCATCGTACAGATAGGGGTGCCGAAGCCATAACGGTGCCCTTGCTCTTGAAGTGACCCCTCAGCCATGTAGCAAGTGCTGCCTTCCATCACTTTCAACAACTTCTTGGATTCCCAGCGTGCTTTGTGTCTCTTTCACTGCTGCTTGATGGGATGCAATCTCCATTTCTCAAGACTAAATCTCCCATCATGCATTGCTTCCAGCAAACAATAATAATGTTACATCGTTAAGCATCGTTAAGCTGTTGTTCAGAAGGCCGGATCTGAGTTATGGCATATACACAGGGCTGAGTGAAATGGTGTCATTGCATTGAGGAAGTCCATCCTATGGGCATCTTCAATAAGTTTACAAACCTCTAGATGGATCTGGTTATTAGGAGTGAAATAGAACTTATGGAAATTCAATACAGATTTTTTTTTTTACAGTTTAATGCTATTACTTCACGTGCCTTTTATTTTGCACAATGTTGATAGAGGTCAAGAGGACACATGATTGGCTGCCATAGGCAACAGTCTATTCTGTTCCTTTAGTTACATAACAGCTCCATTATTTATAGAAGGCTACAAAACTTCATTGTGATGCATCAAGAAAAAAAACCCCACAAAAACACAGTCAGGTTGGTTCATTGATTTATATATAAAACAAGCAAAAAAACAAGTTGTACCAAAAA